GCGCGCCCCCCGCGCCGGCGCCCCCCGCTGCCACTGATGCCACGGGAGGTCCCGTCGCTGTCGCTGCTGCTGTCGCCGCGCCGGGCACGCTTGGCAGCTCCGAGCGCAGCTCCATGGCTAGACCTAGCGTGGGAAAAGTGGGGAGACCTCAGTGAGGACAGTACAACGAGCCAGACTTAAGCGCGGCCTGCAGAAACCGAAATTTAGGACAACTTTGGTTATACAAGTTTGATTAGTAGCTGGCAAGTTGCTGGGAAGGTACATTCAGAACCTCCTTGTAAATACGACTTTTCCCCCTCCCCAATTCCCCTCATTGATGCTGTTATTATATCCGATTTACATGCCAGGTGTAAGATTTCGTTTGAATCAGTAGTTCCTCCAAGGGGGGGGGGGGGAGACAAAGTTTGGAAGTCATTGGTTCAGTTAAATGTAAGGTGAATTTGAAAAGAAAATATTATGCCCAACGCTTAGGTTAATTGGGGTGAGATGAGAACGGAGAAATGTGTGCCTGAAAGGGACTCAGATTACAGAGAAAACGTGGGACCAACGAGCTGATGTCAAAGGCAAAGCAAAAAGACACGGAGCAAAAACCGTTCAGTTTTGGTGGAAAGGTAAAGAGGAGAGAAATGTGGAGGTGAGGCGCGGGGTTGAGCAGGCTGGGTTGGGGTCTTGTTTGTTGCCTTTAATGTGGGAGCAGCGGAATCCGGGAGAAAAAGAATTGAAGAACTTACTTCCTATTAAAAGTAATGTGAGAAGCAGAAGACAAACTTGGAGGCAAAAGTTCGGCTTATGACCCTGGGACCCATAAAGAATGAGCTCGGGACAGGCGGTGGTCTGAACCTCCAAAGGGTGGGAGGGAAAAATAGATGTAGAACTAAATTTACTAGGACTGAGGAGGGGTTAAAGAGAAAACCCAGAAAAAAAAAACTTTCTTTGGATAGGCCATAGAGCGCAAAGATAAGTTTGAATAGCAAGAAAAACATCCCAAACAGCTGAGAAGGTGACCTGGACCCAGGTCCGCGGAGAGCTACAGTGGTAAATAAGGGGGAAAAAAAAAACTCTACTGCAAAATGTAGGGTGGGAATAGGGAGAGACCTGTGGCGTGGGGTTTAGACCTTTAGTCTGGAGTAGTCGAGGAGGAAGGCATATCTTCGAAAAGTTAGGCTTAGCAGGATCTCCTTTTCCCTCAACCCCTCCTACCTAACCCCCACCCTTTCCAGTTTAGGGACCCAGTCCTCAGACACGCCCTCCTCATTCTGGGACCCCTTGGGACCCCGCTCCTGCGCAAGTTCCAGAGTTTTGGTCTTCAGGTTAGGGTCCTGGGACGTGCACTCCCCAGCAGGTCTCTGGGAAGCCAGGGAGTGGCCTCCGAAACTGACCCTTAAGGGACTGGAAGAGTCCCACCTGCGCCGCAGCTGCAGAGGCCCAGCAGGCCCAGTTCCTGGCTTCCGCTGCGGCCTCCACTATCCCCGCCACCCCGCCACCCCTCCGGGGGGCCCGCCACAGCCCGGCCCCGCCACTGGGGGCTCCGTTTGAGAATCCCACACCTCGGTGTGCGCCTGGGCCTCTACCCCCAGACCCTCAGGCATGCAGTCCCCAAGGCCCTAGGGGCCTAGGCCTCGCCCTCTGGGGCCGCCAGCCGGGTCGCCTCCCCCGCTCTGTGCCTGGCCCTCTACTACCTGCCTCGGGCTCCGGGCTCCTCCTCCGCGGGCGCTGCACGCACCGCCCAGCTCTGCTGGCGCCCCCGCTCTCTCGCCCTCTTCCCCTTGC